GAGCGGTTATGTTTTGCTAGTGGGTTTTACTATAGCTGTGCTCTGGAAATCTTACTCTTCCTTCCTACCACTCCCTGCGATTCTTAGGCAAGTGTTTTGACAGGCAGGGGGTGGCGGGGGGAGAGAGACTCTCTTAGGGGATGCGAAGGCTCTTTTCTGCTTTGGCTCGACTCACAGCCAAGTTCTCTGCCTGGCTTTCTGGGGTGACCAATAGCATTTGAATGGGAAGGGGGTGGTCAGTCTGAGCTGTCTTCTGTGCCCCAAGAGAGTCAGCTCTTGCAAGGGTAGGACACGGGTGGAGCTGAGCTTTGGGAGTGTGCAAATCTCTTTTGGAACAATCTTTTCTCATCGACTCTTTTTCTTCTGGGGTGAAGGGCAGGTGGGAATGAGGGAGCCATTGCTCACTGACCCTCCCCCGCCAATTCCGGCCTTAGGCTTTAAAGGAAAAGTGGCAAACTCTTATTTTCCTGGAATAGAGAAGCCAAATCCAGCTGGCTTTGCAGCTTCTGGCAGGTTAAAAAGCATGCATTTCCACATGACTTGCTGAGTTACACCAAATTTTAACATTTTAAAAACCTCCCCGCAGTCCCTGCTGCTGGCTCCTCTGAACACTGACATTGTGGGGGCTCTGAGCAGCACTCCAAGTTTATTTTTCAGTGTCTGGTGTTTATGTGCGGCTTCTGAGTTGGGTTTTTCCCAGTACACTGCCTCCTCCTTGAGAGAGGAAGCCTGCGAGCCTCCAGCTTCCTTTGTAACTTCCCAGTTCCTCTGCCCACAGCCTCTGTGCGTCTGTCTACTCACCCACCCCAATCGCTTTGTTTTAAAGTGGCTGCGGGACCGATTTTCTCATTTTCAAATGAAAAGAAGCATTTGGCTTTGTGTCCGTTGCATAGGAGGTGCAGATGTGACAACGTGGTCCTAGAAATCCTGCAGAGGTGAGCAGCCCTTCAGGATTGCAAGGACCAACAATGGCTCACCTCCTGATGATCTCCCCAAACCAATAACCCCGCAAAACAGAACGGCTGTCCCAAGCACCTCTTGCAGAAAAGATAATACGCACAGTGGTTGGGAGTTCAAGTCCTCAGTGACCTCAAAAGGTCACTTTAGCGTTCAGCTTCCCTTTCCTCTTCTGTAAAATGGGAATAGAAACTGAATCTGCTTTACGGTGGTGGTGTAAGGACTACAAGAGCTGTAGTGTGCAAAATGTCTGGCACATAGTCAAATGTTCGAGGCATACTAGCTATGCCTATTAGTAATTAGCTATTTACTATTTACTAAGAGGAAAGACTGGGAGATCGCGTCTCTCCTGGCACCTGGGGAGCTTGGCTGGCCAGCCCCAATGGAGGGGTCACACGCCTTCCAGGCCTCCTCAAGTCCAGGCACCGGGGCATCATTGTGACTGCTCAATAAGGGTGACCTGGCAGCCGCCCAGTGTGAGCACAGGTGCGGCCCAGACCACAACGAGGGCGTGGGCGCGGGCGTGGCCAGCGGAGGTCGAGGGAGGCCAACTGTGCCCGGACGGAGGTGGGGGTGGGGCTGGGGCTGGGGCTGGCTCCGGCCCCACGTGC